ACAAATATTGCCGGTTCGATAAGTTTGTGATTCGGCAGTGATAAACTTTTGATTTGGATGTGAATTACAGTAATTCAAAAGTTTATCACTACCGAATCACAAACTTATCGAACCGGCAATATTTGTTCGGACCATCTTTTGCCAGATGTCCCAGAATTTATGAAAACAGCTGTAATAACCGGGTGGGTTTTTGTAAAAAATTTTATAGTATTTTATAAAAAAAAAAGCCGGCCGGCCGGGTCTGATTTAAAATTTCATGTTATGAAAACCAAGTAATTAAATTTGTATGACCTTACTAAGAATGGAAAAATTTTTTTCTTCGTCTAAATTTTGTGATTATGTTTAATAAACGTATTTTCATATAAACATTGGGATCAGAATGAATAGTTTCTTTCATTTATTGTGCGGGTCCTATGTAACAGCCCGTGCTTTTTTTTTTTTTTTTTATTGGCATGGGACCCGTACAAAATCTATAACATATTTTTTTATAGATGATTTTGACAATGTTTAGTAAGATTTCGCTATGAAATCAACTTTCTTTCAAAAAAAAAAAAAACATTTTGATATATTTGCGTAATTGTTTTTAAATTTATACAAGGGGCGCGTGTAACGTGTCATATGATGTTTGTGTAGTACGCACATAGAGGGTGCCCAATAGAATTTTTTATCTTTAGGGCAAGCTCGCAGAGAACAAAAATCGAAAATCGGAATAATTTTGACCAATAGGACTTATTTCAAAAGTTATCCGGCATGAGTACGTACAAGTAACACACTATTTTTATAGAGAGAATTAAATGATGATTTTACGTGCGTCTGAACATTACGCTGAGTTGATGGGTATAGGCAGAAATTAGCCTCCGTTTAAACGTATACAAATTCGGCGTATTGCTGATTAATTAAGACTCTGGAAAATTCAATTAGGCAACGACTTTTATTATTTAGAGAATGGTCAAATATTTATACATTTATATATAAACCAATTATTTATAAAGATAGAAATAGTTTCACAAATCTCAACACTTTGTATTTAAGTATATGGAAACAAAAAGATCTTGTGAAATGTAATTAACATATATTGATATAAGATGAAATGAAAATGAATGATAAGAATATATCTATCTGCTATTGTGTGAATAATGTACGTACAATAAAATATTTACTAATTTAAATATTTAAAATATTTACTAATTTAGGTATTTAATACATTTCCGTCATCACCTAAAACTTTACTCGATATGGATCTTTCTTTATACAAATACCATACGTTCTAACATCTTCAAGTTTTGGTAATACCCAATATTCACCAGCCTTAACCAAAGTATCAGGGTTAACTCTATTCTGAAACATCACTAAATAAGTTTCTCCTTCATAACTAAACCTAGTGGCAAATTGTTCTGCAAGTTTAACATCTGGAGTTGTATAAACACCATTTCCAAATTCAAATTGAAGTTTCTTTCTATTATTTTGTTTACAACAACAAAATAATCCCAAAAATTTTCTCGATTTATTCTTTCCTCTAATAACATCATATCCCATAGCAGCCATTGACATACCATTAACGTTACCAGTAGCATGAAATGAGACAGGCCATTCATTTTGAGCTGATTCAAATTGAGTTTTTCTATTTCTAACACCTAACCAAGTATTATTATATTCATATTTGTTTAAAACTTTAGTACTAATTCTCTTCCATCCACATGGTCTAGTATATTCTTCTTTACCACGATAAAATTTTTGTGTATCTGTTATACTTGTAAAATCGTAATTATGTTTTGAATCTAAATGTTCAGAATTAATATAACCAATAGAATTATTATTTTCACGTAATAAAAGATTTAATTGAATAACTGAATGAGCCTCGATATCATATTGTGTTAATGTTAATTCATCTTTCAATATTTGTCCATTAAATAAAAGTTCTTGTTTAGATGTAGGGTAACCTTCTCGTGTATAAATTAATTCCTTTAAACTATTAACAGTACAAGAAAGTAAGATATGAAGACTAATTTTCTTTTTAGAAGATATTTTAACATAAATTTCTTTAACATCATTATTAGGTGTTTTCAAAAAATTATGTTTTGGAGTTTTTATAATGTTTTTAGCTGGAATTTGACCAATTTGCATATGAGATTGGTAAATATCAACTTCATGAAATTTTGCATCAGGACTATCCTTCTGACGTTTATATTCGTCATGCGTAATAACAGTGGAGTCAGAAATCGCGGTTAGTGCTGCTGCAAGAAGGGATTGGTTATTAGAAGTTTTTCGTACCATTTTCTTAAGTTGTTAAATTATAAATGTAAAAATTGTTATTAAACTATCAAAGTTTTATTTATTCGCAGACGAATTGAATTTTTTTTTTTTAAAAAAAAAAAGAAGAGGTGATTAAAGACGTCTAAATGGTACCTAAAGACGGTAATTTATAAAAAAAAAAAAATATTGTTAAAGATGTATACACGTAGTACACTATCATTTTACTCGTGAACAATTTCAAATCTCAAGTTACTCTGTTTTAACTAAAATGGACAATTAATATTATCAATATGCATGCAGATTCGAAGACAATTAAGAGAAGCAAAAAAATAATAAGCAGTATCGACCATTTTTGTGAAATTAGAAAATTTTCTTAGAATCTTTCTCATTATTTGTGTATGTATCTTTGAGTAACATAGTATGTTATGGAACTTCCAGAGATGTTATATGGAAAATCTCTCTTATTATAACTCCGAATTTACTTATAAAACTATTTAAAGAATTTTAACTAAATCCAATTTTGGAATGTAACACATGTTTTTGAGAGACATTAAATACAAATTAGGATATATAATGTGTTTAGCCTAATCAAATAGTAAAACTTCTGGTCAGATTTACCAATAATTTAGCAGACTTTAATTTTCATGACCTGTTCAGATCTGGCTATATGAATAAACGTATAATTAAACAAGATTCCTTTGTTTCTTTGTCTTAATTCATAGTATTCATTTATATACTTCTGTATTGGATTTAGATATATCGATATTTTTAAATGGATATTTCAGATTTAAATGTTATCGTTATTAATTATGAATATTTTAAGAAAACTATTTTATTTTAAGGATCAAAATTTAAAGTTAGGTATAAATTTTATATATAGATCGATATTTAAAGAAATAAATGGATGAATTACTATTTTCATTCTTTCAAATAGAATATTCTACCCGATTTAATGACTTTTGGAATTCTGAATACCCCCAATATTTATTTCTGGAATATAATAAACTTTGATTGATGCAAGAACTTTAAATCACTATACTAATAGTATAAAATTTATGTAAAATCGATTTCAAAAATCTAGATAATCTTGCTTATTTATATTCTCTGGCATAATATCTGACTGTTAGATTCATTTTTTTCACAACCACATGATTATAAGCCAATAAAAATCGCAATCAATTTACACATGAACCAATTTTATTGGTCAAAATAGCTAGTAAAAAAAAAAAAAAAGAGTTTTTAGCATCAACACCAAAACTCATGTTACGTACATCTTGCTGTATTCGGGAATAATAAATACAAATCACGAAATTTTGAAAAAAAAAAGTATGAGGATTCCGTCCGATGAGTTTTTTTTTTAAAAAAAGAAAATTGCAAATGACTTCTTTTTTTTAAAATAAATAAATAAATAAAATAAAATAATAATAATAATAATAAAAAGAATAGCGAGATTTTTTTTTTAATTATACAGAAGATTTTTCTATTAATTAAAGCATTTATTTAATTACAATTATGTTTCAATTTGACCGCTTTCATTTATGTGATTTAGGTACTCATCTATTAAGTCTATTAAATCATGTCGGTAAATACACTTATGCTCCATGCATAACTGATTTTTGGTGGCGATGTACTGCGATTTTATATAAATAAAGTTGTATCTTTGTTATTGTTAACTCTCAACTTGTTTAACTTTAATTAACGATTTGTTGAGATGATAACTATAATATTCATATAAATTTTTCAAATGTTCTCGTTATTGTTATTTAAACTAAAGAACAGGCCACTATTAGCCTAGCATTACGGCGAATTTATGAAATACCCCCAAAATTTGAAAATTTTGACTACGAATGTGTAAATAGTGATTTTTGCGGTGATAGTCAGGTTAAGGTGCGTCATTATAATAAATTTATATGTCTAATGTAAGTGGGGAAAATAGGTTAGCCTGTGGGGAAGATGGGTTAGACGCTTAAATCGGAGGACAAACCAATTTTTTCGTGTTTAGATTAATTGGGCTGCCGTCAATAGTGTGAAACCCGTAACGTGACCAGGTCGGGTTTCCCCCCGTAAATTAATTGTCAGGTGACTTCGGTAACTCCAAATTAAGGCTTCCCGGGCCACACTGGCTGCACTGGCAACTCCGGCCACAACGGCTAAAA